CTCTGGAAGTTCTCTGTCAATGTATGATTGTAGCCATTTCTGTATTACCTCTAGCAAAACTTTACTTGCTTGAGATATCAAAGAGATTGTCGGATGATTTCCGCATTCTGTTGGGTCACCTCTCTTTGGAATGGGCATAAATATTGCCTATTTTATAGGAAACATTTATTGAGATTAAGTAACTTTCCAGAGTCACAGATCACAGAGTTCATAGATAGCAGGTTTGAAACCGGAATAGAGAAAACTTTTGACTACAGAGTTTTTTTTCTCAATTACCAGGCTGAGATACCTTCTACACAAAATAAGGCTCTACTGTATATTCATCTCTTAAATAAATTTAAATAAATATTTCCTTAAAGGAAAGGAGAAGAATGGGAAAAGTGCAGAAGTTAATTTAAGAAATTATGAAGAAAATGAAGAGTATAAATGGCCTAAGAGGGAAAAGTTATATGAGATCTGAAAAAGGAAAGGGAAGGAAGGACTGGAAGAAAATCTTAAAAAAAACAAAATACCTACACATGCTGAGTGATTTTATAAATGCAAATAATCATTTGGGTGGTTATCAGAGTTAGAAAATGATTCAATAAGACTTGGATATATATTTCTGTAGTAAACATTTGATAAAGTTCTTCATCCTATTGAAATTTTTGATGGAGAAATGTTAAGTAATTATTATTTTTATTTTTTCTATAGCATATACTTTTTTAAAATGTTACTCAGAACCTTATATTTTGATATACTGTTTAAAGCCCTCTTAGGAAGTGTGAATGCATAATCAAATCAGTCAAGAGCAGTGGCCTTTGGGGAGCAAAGTCTGAGCCAGGGCCAAAAATGCCTGCAGCATGACGTAATCCATGGAAGATAAGGGCGAGAGATGAGTGAAGAGTATACTAATATTATATGCACAAGAACCTAAAAAATTATCATTCCCTCTGAAATAAAAAATAAATAGAACATGATTGTTGTTATGTGCTGTGGAGTCGGTTCCAACTCATAGCAACCCTGTATAGGGTTTCCTAGGCAGTAAATCTTTACGGGAGCAGAAAGCCTCATCTTTCTCCCGCAGAACAGCTGGTAGTTTTGAACTGCTGACTGTGTGATTAGCAGCCCAACTCATAACCACTATGCTACCAGAGCTCCTTAGAACACGATTACAGTTCATTTTAATGTCTGACATAGTTTATAAAGAATTTACAAAGAAGTCATTCTGTAATGACATTTGGCGTTACAGACGGCCTTTTTTTTTTTTTTTTTTTTTTATTGTAAATTGAGTGATTTTAGGTGGGAAAACATCGGTTTTACACTCATCATTTCATTGCAATGACTCCAGTCTCCTCCATACATCAACAGAGTTT